TTTTACATCTAGTGTATTAATAACTGAGATATTTTGAACTAAAACACAATAGTCAACTATTGTGAGAAAGTTTACTTACTTGGATTTGTACTCGTAAAAAATATTCTTAAATAATACCTATATTATATAATTAAATTCATTAACATTGCCTACTAACAATCATATTATTTTGTCATAACAGTTCAACACACACAATTAACTTGTAAATATGTTAAAATAAAAACTTAATCGTTTTAACACTTATTATACACATTTTTTGCTAGGACTATATAATCGTGTTTGAAAAAAAGTTTCAATGAACATTGCACACATCAAAAGACGTAGTAATTGGATTTGAAATAAAGTTTATGATAAATTTTACATTCTAGTATTTTGAAAACATAAACGAACATTCCACAACTTCCAAATCTTAACGTACATGTCCCCAGCCCCACCCATCTAAAATTTCACAATTTTTTTTATTCGGATGATTAGTACCTGCGTCATTCCTGAAGTCCTATGACTAGTTTGGGAATTCCTACGAAAAAATTCTGGCCTCCAGAAACAATTTTCTATGCGTTGGGATGGGGACACGTTTCTCCAGCCCCGCCCATGACTAATTATAAGTGTTCAGCAATTTTTTTTTATGTACTAACTACTAAGTCAAAATCTTAAATTTATTCCATTTCGGAGTACCTGTTTAAAGATTTGAATTTTATTATTTTTCCTTGTGGAGAATTTCTTGGATACATATAATATATTCGTTTAACCTTTGAAATAATTTATTTCTCTTTAATTCTACATTTTTTTTTACATATTATTGAAATATTATTAGTTTTAAATTTGTATGTACATAAGTAAGTGAGGGTTTAATGTAACATTTTCGTTTTTTAAAACACTTATTTTTTGAGCAAGATCGTTATGAAGCTCCCAAATATGGTTTCGTGATCTGTATACATATGTTACATAATGACCTCCAGATACAAAATTAACAATGCCTGCCAGAAAGAACCTGAAATTATAAAATTATAGTATATAAAAAAATATATATATTAATAAAAGAAAAGTATATTTTAGTTACTTTGTATTTAATTTTTTTGGAATATGCTGAAGTTGTATCGGTGTGGTAAAAAAATCAGTCTCGATAAATATATGTTCACCCAATACTCTTGATGAGATTTTAATATCTCCGCATTTTGAACACTTTGAATTTCGGTTCTCTGTGTATACATTTAATAATGTTTGTAGTTGTATAAAATCACTGTTGGACGGTAAAATTATAGTTGGCGATGGTCTTGTGATATATCCACATTTATTACAATAAATACATTCTGTGGCACTTGGTTCATCTTTCAAATAACTTTGAATTATTTTTGTTGCATTACATTCAGAATTAATAGTTTGTACTTTTGGGTAGATCTCTGATTTATTAAAATGCATTAGTAACAAGTCTGCTCTTCTTCTATAAATAATTTTGTTTGGTCCTTGAATTGCCAGGTCTTTTGAAAATTGTAAGAAAAGGTTTTTACAATTATTGATATACTGCTTATATGAATTGTTGTCATTATACGCCACGGCTATTGCAACTGCAATGGCGTCAAATGCACATGTATTGGTAACCAAATAAACATCCTTTTTGATTTTGCACTGATTGGAAATGTTTCCATTGAGCAATAATGTCTTTTTATGCGACCTCATTCTTGAACTATTCAAAATTCGGTCGATGTCTTGACATGGTTTGGTATACTTAGTTGGTCTGGTAATTATTTTTTTATTTTTTTCAAATGGTCCATTTGGTATGTTTTTTAAGCCCATCCAACTCTCTTCTTCTTTTAATGTGTCAATGCTGTCACAGGACCGTGACGAGGATGTACTGTACTGGCTCATTTTATCACATATTAAATTATGGTCATCAATGTTGTCATCGAATTCATTTTGTCCCAACTTCATGATTTGACCATCTCCAAAATCCATCCGACTTTCAGGTTGCATAGTGTTGTAAATGTTGTCATCGAATTCATTTTGTCCTGACTTCATGATTTGATCATCACCAAAATCCATCCAACTATCAGGTTGTATAGTGTTGTTAATGCTGTCTAATGAACACGACGAAGATCTTCTTTCCCAATTTATTTTAATACGCTTTGCAGTGTACTCATAGTTGTCATCGAGTTCTTTTTTTGGGGATTTAGGAATAAATTGTTCACTTCTTGTTATCGTCATTGAACTTTTTAAATTATTTAAATGTGTAATTACAAAACGATCCGCTGTCATTGGTTTAAAATCATGCCTTAAAATTTTGTTTTTAAGTTCAGAAAAATCACCTTCTACTGATGCTGAAGTGGCTGTAGAGTAAGGAGATTTGAAATATTCTGACATGACATTTGACCATAACGGAAACTGTTTGCAAATACGTAATACATTTTTACGAAATTCAGGATGAAAGTATGCGTTTAAATCATCACTTCGTACTAATGATTTTGAAGAGCTTTTTGAATCAATATCGTTTAAAAAATCATTGATATATAAACTTGAACTTTGATCAATGTTTGCTTCTTGTTCAATAAAATCTTCAATTTCAGAAAACTCTTCATCTGAAGTTTTTAGATTTGGGATTTCAGTAACCCCTAAGGAAAATGAATAAATAAACTAATGAAACAAATTTAATATAAAACAATTATTGCTTAATGTACAGTACGAGTCGAGTATACCCCATCATTGAGTAAACCATAACTACAAATGTGTTAAAGGTAATCTATTATTGATTTAAATTTTAAATTAGTGCATACGAAAATGATCTTGAAAGAAGACAGCTTCCCTACTCATTTATTTTTTCTGAAAATATTGTATATTTTGAAAAAATTATTGTGTGTATAAAATGAATAATATTCGTTAAAAGTTTCAACATCCACTAAGTTTTTAAATTAAATTAAAATATTTAAAATCATTATTTTTTACTTAATATTCAATTTCATCAACGTTTAAATTCCAAATGTCAATGAAATGATTGTGCTTATTTATTTTTAGTTTGTATGTTTTAGTGATAAATACTTATGAATTATGATGAACTTTTTACTAAATCATATGCATTGGATTCTATAAAATAATTTGCAAAATATGTTCGTAAGTTTGATGAATTTTATAAAAGTTTGAATTACTAACTTTATACATATGTATAATTTAATCAGTGCTTGGAAAGTTCCTTTTTCAAAGGAATTAGTTCACGTTCTCGTTCCTCTTGTAAAAAAAATAAAAGGAAATAAATCCTTTACCGTTCCTGTCTCTCCGTTCCTTACCTTGTTCATTTTCTCGTTCCTTTTTAATGTAAAGTAAAAAAAAAAAATAAGGGCAACGAAGGGTAAATAAGGGTAAAAACATAGGTACATTTTTATACTTTAATTGTTTTAATTTAAACAGTACTTCTGTACAATATATAACTATTACTATCGGTGGCGTAATAACGGAGGGGAGTTTGGGGATAACCCCCCTCCACGAAATTTTTGAATAATTAAATTTATTAAGAGAAAACTAAGTATAGGTTGATTTTCATAGATCTTTAAATTAGCTACTAAATTTCAAAAGAAGTTATACATTTTTTCCCTTTCAATTCTAAAAATGATTTAATTCATTTTAATTAAAAATTAATGAACGAAGAAAGGAACGAAAAAAATCGTTCATGTTCTAAGATGTGAACGAAATTCCAATACGTTCCTGAACATGAAAAAGGAACTACATGTTCCCGATAAGTTCCTAAACATGGAACCAAATCAAAGGAACGAATTCCTTTGAACGCGTTCCTTCCAAGCACTGAATTTAATACAAAAGACCGCCTTCAAAATAAGAGAAGTATTTTTATTATAAAACGTGTATATGGACAATAATCTTAAAAGAAAAACATACATCATACAAATGTTGGAATATGGTATAATTATTGCAAGGTTCAAATTAAAAATTAGGAATAAACAATAATTTATAATTTCAAGAACATACCTTTTATTTTACTCAGTAATTTCTTTTTTGAAACTTCAGATGGGCAATCAGTCTCAATTGATTCCGTTAGTTTTCCACAATATCGACTCATAGACAAAGTTAAAATATCCATTAAAATTGTCTTAAAACTTTCCAAAGTCTTAGAGTTTATCAATAAAATAATACACCTGTAATTATAAATTATCAAAAACGTTTATTTTTTGTTGATATGTATTATTTGAAATTCAGTTATGTACCTGACATAAAACTCTTTTAAATGAGTATTTCCAATTCCCTTCCAACATTTCCATCGAGTTACTAATTTGACTAGATGAGCTATATCGATTCGTATGTAGCACAATGTGAGCTTGGTCTGTGTTTTTCTCTCTAATATTTTTAAACATAAATCGACGTATTCACGTAATGTAAGGCCACCACAAAAAGCTCTCGATATGGCACCCAATAATGCCATAGAATAGTCAGTTACTGTCTCTTGTGGTGCAGTTACTCCGTCATTTAACCACATCATCAATCAAGAATAAATGGTAAATGTATCTTGCCTTTCACTTATCATTTGAGTCACTGATACTTGATAATCTCCATTAGATATTACAGCCTCGTATAGAAAAATATGACTCGATAATACTCCCTCTTTGGTACGTTTTAGTTTTTTCACAATACTACCAGTAGCGTCAATTGCTAGCCTGATATACGATTTTTTCAGCTGTTTGTATACGACTAGTTGACAAGGAGTCCAATAATGAATAATGAAAGGATCAGCACATACATAATGAATTGATCCTGCATAGCTAGAATGTTTGAACTCTATAAGGGACATTATAGGACATTTTAATACAATGCCCAATTTTTTATCTTTTTCTTGTTGTTTACATTTACGTAGCACACATTTTTTATAAATATTAGCAGGAATTTTATCTCCAAACTGTAGAGGAGCAACTTCGTCTCTAACCCAATTACTGGCGCAGTCATGTAATAAATGCTGGCCTACTTCAGTTCTTTTTGGTGCATTCAATGGCCGTTTTAATACATGATTAGATTTCAGATCGACTCCAGTCAAACAAATATTTGTCACTAATGGCATCATCTGGTTTCTTATCAACCCAACCTGTAGCATTTGCACCGCAATCTTTACACTTTCCAGAAAATGTTATGTAATTTTTGGATCTTGAGCTATCATTTGCTACTCGACAACGCTTATAAATTATATTACAAGGAGCTTTACAACATTTTATAAACCAATCGTTGATAACGTTGGTCCATACACCTGGTTTTAAGGTTAAGTATGATTTTGAATTTTTATTTCTTCCGTATTTTACTTGTATTGGATTCATTTTTATATAATCTCTGTAAGGTATATCGAATGTGTAAATATGGCCATCCTCTGATGCATCAGTATCGCCATCTGAGTCACTATTTTGATCGGTTTCCGCTTCTACTAGAGTAGCATTATCAATCGAAGGTCTAGATATAAGCAATTTTAAATTGTTTTTCCAGGAATGACTGTTTTGGGATACATTATTGTATAAAGTATGAGGAGAAATTTTCCTATCAAGACTTTCACTCAGTTGAAGCCACAGTTTATTAGAATAAGGAATTAAATTTCGAACAGAATCAAACAAGTGGTCTGCTACAGATTTTAATTCATCATATACCTTCTCATGGGAAACGGTTGGTTTTCTTCCACAAATGGCCTTAAAAAACATCGGAAACATAGATTATTCAAATTTGTTGCGAACAACACAATAACCATTTAAAATAAGCCCATATTATATTTTATATTACAATGTTTTTTTGATTGGTTAAAAATAAAACGCCTGCAGGCGCCAGGGAACTAGGTACATTTCCCGACCCCCCACCCCAATTTCGAATTTTTAATTATTTTTTTGCACCATTCCATTCGTTTGTATTGGTTAGTAATCAATTTTTTTTTCATTTGTAGGGATTTAGTAACTTGTTAGATGGTCATGAAGTTAGCCCCCACTTTTTTGGTTTCACTTCAAACCACCGCCAATATTTAGCAAATTTCATCAGCCCCCCCACCCAACTTTGTCCGATCCGTTCCAAACCAACGTCAATATTTAGCAAAATAATTTTGATTTTGGAGAATTTATATTTAGAAGTCGATTAAATGAAATCTAAGTAGATATAAAAAATATTAGTCTAATAATATAGAATAAAAATAAAATTTAACTAAAAAAATTAAATTAAATTAAAAAAGTACACCTAGATTGAATAAAAAAATATTAATTTAATAAAAAAAAACAAGTTGATTTAAAAAAATTTTTATCTAAATAATAAATTTTAGATGGAACAAAAAAAAAATATTTGATTAAAAACTATAGTTAAAATGAATAAAAAATAATTAAAAAAAAAAAAAAAACCGAAATTAAAATCAAAAGTAGGGTCCCAAGTTCAAGCAGCCCCCGACTGACCCATCGAGTCAGCTATCCGAGCAACTATACATTGGCTGAATTTGAGGTATTTGACACTTAAGAATATTATTGTGATTTATTTTAATATTAGGTATCGAAGTTGATATTAAAATATAATTTAACTAAAAATTTAAAAAAATAAACCAAATTGAATTAAAGAATATCAAATAAATAAAAAAATATAAATTGATTTAAAAAATATGATTTAAATAAAGAATATATGTCGAATAAAAAGAAATCTAAGTTGGTATAAAATATATTAATCTTTTAAAAAAATCTTGGATGGAATTTTTATATTTCATTTTCACCGTTGTTTAGTGTTTCTCAATGATTTTCCACTTTTTAGGCTTTTACTAGTTTTAAACACTTTTTTACGTTTTTTTTTAAGGAAGGTTGTTTCGTTTTTTAACGTTTTTTTAATGGTTCTAAAAAAGTTTTAAAATATATTTTTATTTTTTAGTTTATTTAAAACTGTTTTAGGTTTTTTACGAATGTGAATTTTATATTAACAAAATGTTTTCATGTTTAAAATTCTGAACATTAATATTGAATTCAATTTGACCCTTATTTAACTTTTCAAGGTATGGACTCATTAGATTTAGCATCTTACAAGAATACAAAAATATATATCAATACAAAAAAAAATTCGCTGATATTTTTATGAACAAAAACTTGTTTTTTATTATAAATACCGATATGTTGTAAATATAATATTTTTAATATCAATAAGGAAATTAATTCATTGAAAATATAATATGAAGAATCACATTTACATGATTTGCAGAGTCGGACTGGCCCGGACCGCTAGTCCGCAATTGCGGACGGGGCCCTGGCTTAATTATGGTAATTGGGGGCCCCTGATTTTGTACCTATTAATATTATTATTATTTGTTTAGAGTAAATAGAAATACGAAAAAAACATTTTTTTTTTCAAACCAGGAACGTATTTTTGTTTACAATGTTGAGACGTTCTCAAAAAAAATTTAAATGACGACATTATCATTATCATTCTACGAATAATCTAGTGTCTATATACAAATATGTATCATTGATTTTAAATAGTGTAAAAGTATTGTGACTAATAAGAGGATGTCAGTGCACTATTTGTTTTTTCTCTCTAGCCCACGCGCAACATAGACAAAACGCATTAACGCAGAATTATTTTTTCTATGTTTTTAAGTTATCTTAGAGTAAAATCAACCATTACAAAAAAGATAGAGAATAATATTTTTGAGGGAACGGCATATCGATTTGTATTTTATTGTTATTTTACTTTGTATTCGACTTTCAAAATAAACAAAAAAAAATTGTAAATTTAAATTATGTTTAAATTGTTTTGAGACAATATTTAGACAAATCGATATGTCATTCCCTCAAAAATATTATTCAGTATTCTCTATCTTTTTTTGTAATAGGTGATTTTACTCTAAGATTACTTAAAAACATGATTCTGCTTAATACGTTTTGTCTATATGTTGTGTATGGGCCAGAGAAAGAAAACAAATATGAAATCCTCTTAAATAATATTATATTATAATATTTATACGGGCGTATGCGTATGACTTGGTATTATTTCGTGTTATAACTGATTTTAACTGAATTGAGGATTGTGGGATTTCCAATGTCTGATAATAAAAACAGTCCGATGGGTCTCTTGTCGTCAATTTACTAAGTACCTGCGGAAAATGTCTTAGCATTTGGGGATATGCTCAATATAACTATATAACTCTATATTTAAAATATAGTAAAACCAATTAATATATCAAGTGATTGAATTTCAGTTAGGTACGTATTTAGTTATTTGTGCCCATATGTGGCTGTATGGTAAATATGGAAGATGGCAATTGTATTGAAAGAAAAATGTTCTATGAAAATTGTATCTCGAGCGAAGCGAGTTTTTTTTTTTGGGCTGATCAAAACATTTGCCATTTGAATGTAGAGGGCCCCTTTTTCCAAATCGCGGACTGGGCCTTTTCGAGCCAAAAAAAAATCATTGATTTGTAAAACACAAACATTATAAAATATAATGCATAGATTTTAAAAATAGATTAAATTATGTTGTATTGAAATAAGTCAAAAAATATAATGAAAATTACATTTTCACATAAAATGAACACAATATGAACACAATATTGTTAACAGTTTAAAATTGAAAAATAAAAAAACAAGTCCCTAATACAATATCTATTATTTTTATTTTTAAGTACAATCCTATGCACTATGCAGATTATAGGTAGTCATTCATAAATAAAGCATTAAAAGTGAGGGTAAGTAAGTGGATGTCTCTCTACTGCTGTACAGTAGTTTACAAGTGGGTTACTGTAATGGATGGTATTAAATTTTACTTCAATAGTTCAATGATATAATATCATTACGAAAAACGATTCTGATCGGAGACGAGTTTTCAGTCTTGGATATTTAAAAATATATTAAAAATAATAAAATTATATAATTATAATATTATTAAAAATAAGATATTAAATTATAATATTTTTAAAAAAAAAATGTAGGTACCTAAAAATATAATTCAAAATTAATCAAATTAGATTCATTATGTTACATGGAACCTTGTTTCAAATGTTCAATCCTTAGACATAAAAGTTAAACATTTTATATATTTTTAACAACTAAAGAATTTGTAAATTTTCAATCAAACAAATTTTGTCAAAATTTGAACTTTAAATGGTTTTTAAAAAAATCGTGCCTATGTATTTTTAATATTTTCTAACTGCTATTATATTATCTTATGGGGAACCTTGTATTGAATTTTCAAGTTTTTTTACTTAACGATTAAAATTGTATTGACATTTATAAAATAAAAAACTAAAAAAGATTGAAAATGTCAAATGTCTATAAATAACGTAAAAAGATTTGAAAATTTTATCATGTAAAGAAAATGCCTGTATAAACATTCTGTGATAATTTCATATTTCAACGGTAGGTAATTAGTTTTAGAGTTATACCAATATCTAAAATCGATTCTAAAATTATGTTTTATGTTTTATTAGGTTCTCATAAATAGTTCATACTGTAATAAAAAAATCTAAAAAATATATGAACACAGTTATTTTTACAGACATTTTAAATTCAAATTTGGACGAAATTACATATTAAAAACCTAGAATAACTATTTAGTTATTTTGTTGTGATTGAATAATATTATTCGTGGGTACTTGAAATTTCTAAAGTGTACTATTGTCTATTATATATCTATATGATAGTATCACGGTTTTTGTTGATGTATAACGCGTTATAAGTAGCCCGAAGTAGGTACCTAATGGATTTTGCGGCGTCGCGGAAGAATGCGAAAGCAGTTCCCGCGACGCCGTCGCTTCAAAACTGGAAAAAAAAAAAAAAAGGTACCTAATGGATATTGTGATATGATTAATTTGGAATTTATTATAGGTGCCGGTTGAACTCTGGCTTTTGGGTCTGGAAAAAAAACGCGAAAATATTTCTAAGTCCATATCACATCTATAATATTATCACTACAGCAATACTCTGCAGTGTTGCCATAATAATAATTTTATGTACCACAATAATAATTTTATACTACGTAATAATCACAAAAGTATTCTAAGTTCAAAATAATCAATTTATTCACTCGTTCATTTTCCAAAATATTGCTGCTCAAATTAAGTCCAAAATAATATTTCAAAAGTGTCAACTATAACGACCACCTAGGCTTTCGGATTTTTGATTTTTCCATTTTCCGACCGCTTTTCACGGACCTACTTATAGCTTTTGGGTCTGGGAAAAAATGTCGAAATATCGAAAAACGTCTAAGAGGTTTTATATTCGTATGCCGTTATAGAAAAATACCATGTAGTCGCATTTTTCATTTTTCCATTTTTAATTAACTATTTTTATTATTAAAACGTAATAACGTAACGTAACGTTATTCGTTACATAAAATATTCGTATTTGAATTGCATTCACCTTACTTGAAATTATTTTTATGACTAGTACGTTACTTTCCTTTTTCATTCAAAAAGTAGAGCTCCACAAATATCGTTAATTTTTAAAAACTAAAAATTACAACTGCCCACGAAATGTACATAATTATTTATTAAATATATCAAACAACTATAATTATTGTTGTATTTAATAAATATATTGTTTATTTTAATGTCTTATATCATATTTTTTTAAATATATAATAATATATTTATTTAATATGATATAATCATAAGAACTTTAAAATGTGGTGGCCCTAAAAAAGGTACCTCTAGCATTCTGGATAGTGACAATCGTCAGTAGTACGACTTATATCAGCTTAATCATTAAATTACAAATATAATATTAATAGCAATAGATACCTAAATACATTGCCACATTGCTCATATCCTCATACCCTCGCCACATATCAGTATACATATAAATGTATCGTGGTGTATATTATATTTTTGCATGATTGGTAGCAGCGTATCGGTTGACGTCGTCTTAATGAAATTATTATTATTAAAACGTTGTAATAAAATACGTTAATAGTACAAGTTACCAGGAACAGACTATCAACTAACCATTATAATTTATTATTAAAATTATCGGGTGTGCATGATAGATCCAGTCAAAACAACTTGTTTAATTTTAGCCGTCTTGGGCGTATATTCGCTGAAATCACTTCAAGTCGTCATTTCGATTTTAGTTTTCTAGTCGTAAAGTAGTGTTTTGTACTTTTGTTAATTATTATACTATACTACTATGGATATTAACACGTTGCTTCAACCAGATTGTTTCTCAGTATTTGCATTGGGTGCCTTTTTAGGACCTAGTATAACTGAAGAGCAACGTATTTTATCTGGGAGGCAAGGTGAAATTATCTTCACCTATTTTGGCATAATTCCGAGTGATTTTGATGTGCCTGAATGTCGATGTGGAAGACCAATGTATCGAGTTAATGATTCTAGTCGGAAACTCGGCTACAGGTTCAAATGCGCGGGTGGCCATAAAATAAATCCAACCAAAAATACTTTTTTAGAGTATGTACATACTGCTGGAGAGTTGGGCTGCAATAAAATAGTGCAAATGATTTATTTGAACTATTTACGAGAACCTTTGTGTTGAATTTGCAATCCTTAGCTATAAAAACTGAACATTTTATAATTTATTAATTACAATGATTGATAATTTTCGAGATTTTGAAAAATTCTGTCAAAATTCGATGTTTACATGCTTATAAAAAAAAATTGTGCCTATGTATTTTTAATATTTTTCAACTGATATTGTAACAATATATCAGGAGCCTTGTATTAAATTTTTACACTTTTTGGCCCAACAGATAAAACTTTTTTGATATTTGTAGCAAAAAACAACTAAAACAAAATTGAAAACTGTAAATGTCCATAAACGGCTCAAAAAGAGTCAAAATATTTTCAAAAATTGTATGGTGTATAGGACATGCTAAATATAAACATTCAGTGAAATGAAATTTTCCTGTATCTACAGAAATTCGTTTTTGAATTACAACAAAATAAGGAAATCGCTACAAGAGAATCGAGTGAACATCCACTGTTGTAAAAAACTTTGAATTTAACCGCTCATAAATATTTCATTGACATTCCGGTAGAGATTTTTTTATTGATACAGCGTAGACAAAAAACTTTAGGTACTTTGAATTACCCATTTCAAATCTTAGTTTTTAAAAGAAAAATTTTTACGAATTCTTAACTCAAAATAATTCGCTAATTTTCGTGATTTTTCCACATTTTTACAATTTATGAACTTTAAATGCTTATAAAACAAATTGTGACTAAGGATTTTTAATATTTTTCATCTGCCTTTGAAACAATATTTAGGAGCCTTCTATTAATTGTCAAGCTTTCGCAACCAACAATAAAATTTTATTGAATTTTTAGAAAAAAAACTAAAAAAAAATGGAAAATGAAATGTCCCTAAACAGTTCAAAATAAATCAAAATATTTTGAAAATGTTATCGTGTATAGAAAATGCAAATATAAACAAAAAGTGAAAATTCCATGTATATACGTTCATTTGTTTTAGAGTTACACCAAAAACCAAAATCGATTTTTTGGAAAACCAATTTTGCGTAAAAATTCCCGTTTTCCTTAATTTTATGTGTGTTTTTCCCGGCGCTTGTGAAAACTACTGGGAAATGTTTACTTTTGACCCCCCCAATGTACCAACTAGATTCACTTTCCTATCAGAAAAGGTACTATTGAAGAAAATCTAAGCACTTTTACTGTCCCAAAACGTGATGACAGACACAAAAAAAATATAAAAATATAAAAATATAAAATATAAAAACACACATCATTGTAAAACCAATACATTCATCGCTCCGCTCAGAATCTAAAACATAATATTCAGGATTGAAACCTACAGTACATTTTTTTTTAATATAACAGATATTTTTAATTCATTTTAGTGGTCATGGAGTGGTAAACCATTCAATCAACTTTGTAGAGCCTCCAAAAAATGAGCCACCAATTTGGGTAGGGACTGGCAGATTTAGCCAAGAGTGCTTAGATAAGCAGTGGGAAGGAGTTCGGCCACCAAACCAAGAACCAATCCGCTACCACACGCAGCATATAGAAAGATCGTGGAGGGAATTAAAACGCATCTTGACAAGATGCAATTGCAAGCGGGTGGCAGATTCATACATTGGCGAATGGATGTATCGGACCAATATACTGAACCACCTTCCAACAACCAGCGACCGTTTCAAAAGGTTTATGAACGACATTGCAAGGGTATATCCGGGCATTGGATACGAACCAATGAAACGGGACATTGACGATTGTCACTGTCCAGAATGCTAGAGGTACCTAACCTAACCTACCTTGGTAAAAAAAAATGTTATGAAATATAATTTTGTATACCTAGGTTAATATTATGTCCCGATAATATTGTTTTTAATTCCACGGATAAATTTCCACTCTAGGTGCATATAAACTATAAAAAACCAATAATATTAAATTTTTATTTCCACAGATAACTTCGACGATCCGCCGCTGCGTGATTAGCGCACTCATTTAAAACGGCCCTTTTTAGGGCCACCACATTTTAAAGTTCTTATGATTATATCATATTAAATAAATATATTATTATATATTTAAAAAAATATGATATAAGACATTAAAATAAACAATATATTTATTAAATACAACAATAATTATAGTTGTTTGATATATTTAATAAAATAAATTATGTACATTTCGTGGGCAGTTGTAATTTTTAGTTTTTAAAAATTAACGATATTTGTGGAGCTCTACTTTTTGAATGAAAAAGGAAAGTAACGTACTAGTCATAAAAATAATTTCAAGTAAGGTGAATGCAATTCAAATACGAATATTTTATGTAACGAATAACGTTACGTTACGTTATTACGTTTTAATAATAAAAATAGTTAATTAAAAATGGAAAAATGAAAAATGCGACTACATGGTATTTTTCTATAACGGCATACGAATATAAAACCTCTTAGACGTTTTTCGATATTTCGACATTTTTTCCCAGACCCAAAAGCTATAAGTAGGTCCGTGAAAAGCGGTCGGAAAATGGAAAAATCAAAAATCCGAAAGCCTAGGTGGTCGTTATAGTTGACACTTTTGAAATATTATTTTGGACTTAATTTGAGCAGCAATATTTTGGAAAATGAACGAGTGAATAAATTGATTATTTTGAACTTAGAATACTTTTGTGATTATTACGTAGTATAAAATTATTATTGTGGTACATAAAATTATTATTATGGCAACACTGCAGAGTATTGCTGTAGTGATAATATTATAGATGTGATATGGACTTAGAAATATTTTCGCGTTTTTTTTCCAGACCCAAAAGCCAGAGTTCAACCACTTTTTCTTATACAATGATATTATATCCTTGAATTCAAATTTAATATCATCCATTATACAGTGACCCACTTGTAACCTACTGTACAGCAGAGCGACTCCCACTTGCCCACCTTTTTTTGTATAAATATCTGTTTAAATTAAAATTTTTTAAATTCTTATTTGAATGCTTATAATGAAGTGTTTAAACGCTTATATTTTAATGATTTTAAGAGTTATAAGTTCCGAGGCCTGAATTTATGACTTATGCCCGTGCAAGCACCATCCAGTGGTAATGTTGTCGCCTCTAAAAATAGCCCAATATGCTAGGGCAATATTATTGTGTATTTAATATTTGTATTAATAATATCAATACAGCTTTGAGGATATCACACCGCTCGGACGGTACCAAAATATTTGATGACACTGGTACTTTTTATTAACATTAACATTATTTAGTCAACTAAAAATTTACATGATTAAAAATAAAAGTACTTGTTGATTAGGGGCTCAAGGGCCCCATTTATAAATCACAACTAAAGGGCCCTGGTGCAATGCACCTCCTGCACCCCCTCTAAGTTGTAACGAGACAGAATTATGTCGATTACGAAACAACGCGCGCGCTCTAGTAGTGCGCACATGCGCGATGTGCGGAATGCACGTGGTAGCATGCACGACCAATCATGACTTTGAAACATTGTAGAACTATACCGAAGTTAACAGGAGCTTCTTAACTGTCCAAAGAAAGCGCCTACATTACCAGCGAAACTTATTGAGTCTTTAATAGCAATTTGCATAATAATACGTTGTAACCAAGACGTAATGATAAACTACCTAGAGTGCGTGCGGGTGCACTCACTCTTAGGTAATGATAATCGGTGTGAATATGTATAAATCCGAGACTTCCAAATGTAATAAAAACTATACTAATCGATTCATCACCATTCCTGCTGTAAAAGACTTGCAGCCGCCCACATTCAAGGAGATACCTAAACTAACGAAAATCGTCGTAATATACACACACGGAAACCATGTACTATCTCAATGCGCGGGACCACAGATATACTGGTCGAAAACACCAGTTCAAATAATCAAATCAAATCCGATCGTATCGTAACTCGTCTCGTATCGCGGAGTTTAATTAGACGAAAAGTCAGTTGTTCCAAATTCCGTTCGTTGTCCGTTTTACCCTCCTCTAGTTTACTGTGTGCAGTAATACGTACTCCGTATTGACAAGCTGCACACACCTAAACCAGAGGAGTGGCCCGTAGCTGTAGTAGATTTGTGGTATCTAGTAATACGTGTACCGTATTGACAGGCTAGATACCACATCTCTCGGGAGTCGCTACCCCAACCGCCGCCGTTATTATTATAGTCGCCGGTACTATTATAGCCGCCGTTACGAATACCGCCGCCGTTACGAATACCGCCGCCGTTACTAATATAGTCGCCGGTACTGTTATAGCCGCCGTTACGAATACCGCCGCCGTTATTATTATAGTCGCCGGTACTATTATAGCCGCCGTTACGAATACCGCCGCCGTTACTAATATAGTCGCCGGTACTGTTATAGCCGCCGTTACGAATACCGCCGCCGTTACTAATATAGTCGCCGGTACTATTATAGCCACCGCTACGAATACTGCCGCCGTTGTAAGAACCGCCGCCGTTACTAATATAGTCGCCGCTGCTATTACCGCTGCCACTATTTTACGAACTCAACTACGCCCTACCCCGTGCCAGTGCCAGAGGAGTGCGCTTACGTTGACAGAAGCCGACTACGTGGAGAATAACTACCTACTACGTGAGTCTTTATATTCTCCTCCGAATAAATAAACTTAACTGTAGCTCGAAGAGCATCTATAAACACAAAAGAATATACTGTAACATTTATGACTTAATAAAACATAAAATCTGAACTGAATATCAATAAACCTATCTGTAGCTCGAAGAGCATTAATGTTTAAAAGAAAATATTGTACAACCATTGATTTATTAACTGAAATTTATTTACGTGAGAATAAAAACACATAATTATATACAAATAAAATCAATTGTGTTTTGCATTCTTACAAAGTACGCCACTTTATATATTATAGTATATGAAAATGATACATTATGTATTACTGGGTTACTTATGTATTAACTACGTAGGTATCTATGATCAATATTTTACCTTTTTATTCTCCATGATTGGCAATAAATATTATTTAAATATGATTAGAGTAACACAACACTTAAATAAGAGTACTTATTAAGCACAGAACGAAA